ATATAATTTTAACTTCTTGGGGAAAAAAATGATAGAACAGATTTTTATTTTGTTATGACACAACAGTAACAGGAATTTTGTTTTTATGAACATCTATTACGGTGTAATCTAATAAAAAATTTTCTAATTTGTCCAGAGATCTCCCACTTCATTTTTTCCCTTAAAAGGTTGTAAAAGTAACTGAGGTAAGAAAAGATAAACAACGTTCAGTCCGTGTTCCTTATCACAATGACAGCTCTATGTATGTGCTTATAAAATGGTGATTTATTATTAACAAAATCTCAATTGCACAAAATACTTACATTTTTAACTAAGTGACAATAATAATCTGCTGACGTGTAGCCCAGAGCTGATATGAATGAACTGGTTTCAGCTTCATTACCTTCCCACTCAGAAGAAGAAATGAGATGGCACAACAAACTCTGTGAGAAATCAACAGAAGGGCAATAAATAAAGTATTAAGCCACAACATGCTGTGTAAAAAGGAGTGATTGCTATAAAACTCTATCTGGGGTAAGACCTTTAGGTGGGTTGTGGCCATTTTACACCACCGATACAGAAGAGCAGGTAGCTCCCACCAACCACAAGGAAAAAGCTGCAGCTGCCACAATCAAAAGTGGGTTCACAGACCACATGATTTCAGTAGCTGTGCAATAGCCATAGAGGACATCTGCATCAAAACCAGATCGACCTTTGGTAGGTTTGTGCTCTCTGGGAACCATTTCAGTTTGATAACATCTTAGTCTTGATCAGTACCATGATCAAGAAGAGAAAGAGTGACATTAACATTTACTTTTCTATATCACTCCTTCAAGATGCCCCAGTTATTTTTCATGGGATTCAGGGTCTGGCCTCATAATTTAATAGGCTTTATTTTCTCATTATCTTGAAAAGATAATAATAAAATTTTAGCTTGACATTTACTTCTCCACCAATTTCATTACAGAATGTTTTACATCACGCAATCACAGCTTTTAAACACACAGAAGAATCAAAAGAATCCTTTGATGACCGTTTCAAAGTCAGATTAATGCTGGTTCTGCAGGCATGTACAGAGGACTCTGAATGTAATACTCTGTTTCCAGGCTTTTGCAGTTCTTCAGCACTATACTACAGCTCTGCTGTCTTCTGGACAGACCTCATACCGCAGCACCTTCCCAGCTGAACTCATTTGTGAAAACTGTTCTGCCAAATCCTGAGCAGGTTTTTGCATCCTGGTGTCACAACTGAGCAGAGGTAGTTCTATGTTTCTTATCAAATGACCTGCTCTGTATTTTTTTACAGTTTTCTTCCTGATCTCTACTGCTACATGCTGATAGAACAGCAGTTACATTCCCTTTCAGGGGTTCATTTCAGGGCTTTATGTATCATTGACAGTTAAAGTATAAACTAAATTACACTTTGTATGGCACAAAGTACACAAGCCCCTTTGTAACAGAAGGTCAGGATTAGTAAACACTGAAAAAGACTTTCATTTTAAAAATACATAATTAAAAAGAAAGTTCACATGAGAGTTCTGTGACTTCCATGATCTTAGGCTGCTTTATTCTACGTATTCTTTTTAGAAGAGGCACCTGATGGAAGATTTCAAGACCAAAAAAAAATAAAAAATCACATTAAGTCATTTTCTCCTTGCAGAAACCCAAATATTTATGCATGCTTTTGTTGAACATATCTAAGTAACTGGTTCAGAAGTCCTGGAATTAGATGCATTCATTCTATGTATTCCATGTTTGATTAATGTGAGAAAGAAAACACAATCAGCAGAAGTACACCAGAGGTCTAAGAAAATCCACTGCTACCAAAATAAGTAACAAGCATTTGGGACATGTTATTTATTGTACTTTGGGGTCCTTTTACTACCCTGAAGACATATGTCAAATGCCTAAATATCCTCTTATTCACTGTAAACCTTTTTTCCTAAATATCCCTCAACAGGAGAAACCTATTGCCATCCAGTGGCTTCCTTAAAACAAAAGAGGAAGGAAAATGCTGCAGCAATCCAGAGTTTCAAAGCAGCAATTTACATACAAGTTTTGTTTTCTTATGAAAAAGACTTTAAAATGTGGGTTTTCAAAATCAAATCACAACAAATGTACAAGCCTCTGAATATGTCAAAAGTGAAAGAAAGCTAAACACTATTAAACTGTACAATCTCCAAACAGGCCTTAGTCAATTTATTAAGGCAGAACCTTACACATTTTGATTGTCCTTTACAACTATTACTAGAGTTAAATTTTGTTTTCAGTACACTATCAAGGGTTCAGACAATTAGTTCCTACAAAATAGGATGGTTTGTCCAGTAGAATGAGACAAGGGACCAAACTGCAAGTTCAAAACAAAATAAAGGAGGAGTTAACAACAAACCTGGGATGCCACTTTTGCTAGAGGTAAGGAAGGGGTTTGAAAAGTACAAAGTCTGTTGGATTGCTCAGTGAAGTATTTGCAAAAAGCTTCACCAGTGACAACATAAAAAGGCTCTGAGAAAGATTTGACAGGTTGACATGGCAGCTATGAGAGCTAAATGAGGGAATAGCTTAAAACCACATATATTCATGTGTGACACTACAAAATACATTATCTAGTGACCCTCTGTGTAACCATATGGATAAAAATAACCAAAGACTCTTTATGTGAACAGTAATTTCAAAATTACTTGCCCTTGTGTAACAGGCATTGTTGACCACATAGCAGAAGAAAAGACAAGGTAAAATTACTACACATCATCAGAGTTTGCGTATGGCCTGTAACACTGTTCTGGGTTTGGATTTTGGGGGTTTTTTTTATGTGTGTGTGTGTGTGTGTGTGTGTGTTTTTTCATGTCTGGGGAGAGGTGGGGTTGCTTTGTTTTGGTTTGGGTTTTTTGTTGTTTTGTTTTCTTTTTTGTCTTGGTTTTTTTTTTTGTCAAATTGTATGGGTGTTTTTGTTTCTTTTGCCTTTTCTGAGCAAATTACAAGATCCATGCTAGGATTTTGCAGGGTTTGTTTTGGAATATACAAAACCTCTGACAGCCAGAAGGGGGCAAGGGAAACAGGGAGCAAGGAGATACTGCAGTCATGATGACAAGAGGTATTAGGTACATATATAACGAAGGTATACATTAAAGGTGGAACAGATTCAGAATTCAGGTCTATGTCTTATGTATTTCATTTTACTAACACTGTTCCAGTGCAAAGCCTGCGACATCCAACATGCGATGAAGATAAGAAATTTGTTAACAGTAAGCTAAGCATTTATCTTTTAAGTCTTAAAAGTTTTCTTGCTTTTCTAAAACATATTCAGAAAGTTCTCCTCTCTCTATAAAATGCAGCTAGTTCCCTGCACATAATTCTGGTTGTAAGTGGTAATTCTTTTATTGCTCTATACTGCATTAGCAGAAAGCTCTCTGAAAGAAAAATAAATATTACCAATTCACTCTTATTTGACAAATGGGCTGTTAGTTATGGACTCTTTGAGACACATGGCTGTGTTCCAAAGAGTCAATGCCTCAACGTTCAAGTAGAAACTAGCAACAAGTGGTGTTTCTCAAGGGTCTGTACTGGGGCCAATACTATTTACTATCTTCCTCAGTGGGATGGGATTGAGTAGGACAGTGGCATCGAATGCACCCCAGCAAGATTGCAGATTGCAGATGACATCAAGACACACAGTGCAGTTGATTCCCTTGAAGCATGAGGAGTGGGCCAGTGTGAAGCTCACTAAGCTCAACAAAGCCAAGTGCAAGGTCCAGAACCTGGGTTGGAACAATCCCCAGAAACAACGCAGACCAGGGGATGAATGGATTGAAAGCAGCCCAGCAGAGAAGGACTTGGAAATATTAAAGGATGAACACAAATAGTATAATCGCCAGAAATAAAGCTTATATATAATAACTTTCAACTAAAGATGGCATTATTTTCATATTATTTTTCCAGCCACTTAGCAGGTCAGTAGGGTAATACAAACTCCATACTTGTGAGAAACACAATTTTCCATTTAGAACATGGCAAGATAAATGAAGCAAACCATTCCAAGAGACAATCTCTAAAGAGAAAAACTGACTGAGAACCAAAAAACTAATAATTAAAAAAAGCACCAAGTAATTATTTTCTTGTATTTGTCCACTATCTTTCATCCTATATATCATTAACTTGATTATAAAAAATACAGTGCAAACCAGGAATGGCTAATTTTTAACTAAATGGCAGTGAAAACTGTTGGTTTTGACTCAAACTTCAAAGATAATAATGTTTTAATTCCAGTAATTCTCAGATCTAAAGGATATCAGTAATTATTTCACACCATACTGTAAAACTTGGTTAAAACTAGTTCCAAGACCGAGTGTAAACCAACATTTTCTTACATGTAAGTTTCTTCTTTCACTTTTGAAATCAACTCTTTCAGAATATACCATAGAAAAATCTAAAAGATTTCAGGAAGGAGATTTTCTCACACGGGTTCTTGTAGGAAGCTATAGAAATATTCAAAATTAGTGGTAGGTTCCACTGTTATACTATTAATCCCCTCAAGAGCATTTTGGAAAAGAAAAACCATAACATTTCACACAGCCACAGTGTGAATTCCTGGGGTCAGAGAGATCAGTAATTTTACTATAATGACTTCTAAGTTATCATTTCGAGCCCAATACCTACCAGGTATTAAAGTACACGATGAGAAAACTGTCAATACGCAATGCACTCCTGCTATTGTTGATATCAGATATGAATCAGATACTCCAGCAGAGTAAACAATTGGAGATCTACATAACAGTAAGTTATTTCTGGCAGTAAATCAATTACCACTAACGGTCTAATCCACTAATACCATATTCTACAAGATGAATCTGCAGCAGTTGTGCTGCATTCATAAGGAAAAACCCAAAGTGTCTGCTATTTTTGCCTTTCCAGAATCAGGTGTCTTAGTCCAGAAAACGAACTTCAGTCAGGCACACTGTGGTATCAGAAGTGATTTCTTCCTTTATCTCCCTCACCACTGATTAAGTAAGGAGGAAACCACCTTGGTTCTAGCTGCAAGAAAATAAACTCATCCCCATGGCCTTGGATTAAAGTTCTGTGACAAAGTCTTATACAACATGAAATTGAATTAACAAATTTCATAAAGCCCACAGAGTGAACAACCTCCTTGAACAACCTTGCCAGTAGCTTTATTTTCTTACATGCAATTTATACTGAGTAATACTCCAGCTAACTCAATTCAACATCCACCGCTGCACAAGAGATTTCTAGTATCTTTAACAGGTAGATAATCCTCGGAGCATTAGCATCAAGATGTAAACTCATTTCTTTATCCATGTAAACACATTGCTTCATATCTACAAGGGTTTGAAGTGGAGGCTTGATTTACCATTTACTCCTACAGATTGGCTATAAGGCTCTCTCAAATTAGTTCACTCAGGGCAAGTGGAGCGAGTAAGAACAGACTT